AGAGAGAGAGAGAGAGAGAGAGAGAGAGAGAGAGAGAGAGAGAGAGAGAGACAGACAGACAGACAGACAGACAGACAGACAGACAGACAGATAGACAGACAGAGAGAGAGACATAGAGAGAGAGAGAGAGGGGAACATAAAAAAGGACAAAGAGAAACAAATAGGAGACAGAAGGAGGAGGGGGAGTGCAGAAAGAGGTAAAGAGACCCAAAGAAGGAGTAATAAATAATAATTATAGTTCAGTTTGAGAGTAGAGAAGAGAAACGCATTCCCTTAGAAATAAAACAAGAGGGAGAGTCAAAAGAACAGTAGGACAAACAAGGATAGAAGAAGTGAGACAGAAGAAAAAAAAAACGCCAAAAAAAACAACCAGTATCTGTACTCACGGTCATTGTAGCTTCGCTGTTGTTGGTGCCCCTGGTTGCTGTACCGGGACTGCCCCCCACCACCAGGCCCCGCCCCCATGAGACCTGGCCCCGCCCCCATCAGGCCAGGGGCAGCGCCCATCAGCCCTGCCTTCATGGTGGGCATCATGTTCTGAGAAGACATCACAAATCCCTGACCTCCCATGCCCGTTGCGTTCCTGGAAGACAGAAAGAAAAGACCCGCAGGTCAGCAATATAACATTCACCAGTCTCATCATTTAGCACAGAAACATGTTGAGGGAAAAAATTTCCTACGAGCAGCCAAAGGGAAAGTAAAATATAATCGGACCCACTGTAACAACCGCCTGTCCATGGCCATCACCTGTACAAATATTCACTTACTGTGATACTTTTTGAAAAATATAATTATGACACTATCCAAGACGTCCACATGACTTTTTATTTTGTTTCAGTTAGTGTTTTAGGGCACTTGCAACACAAAAAGGTCATATAAGTGCTAAAGATAAGAGGTCTTACAAGAGAGTAACAAACACAAAACAAGAAGGAAGGGAGATAAGGACGATAAAGGGTAGATAAGGAAAAGGGAACAAACCACACCAGAGCACCCGCCAACCACCTGCTTCCACCTATCTAAGACAACCACTTTTCTCCTCAACAATAGGCGACTGTCTTGGACAATTTCAAAAGTATTTGAAAATCCAGGAATAACATTGAAGAAAAAGCCTTCTTCCCTACAGCTGCACTATCCTCCACGGAAGAACAAAGCTCAAAAATGTTTCGTCAAACTGGAATATCAGCACTGGACTGGATTATGAAGCAGATGATCTCCTCAAAGTAAGGCTGAAGTGCCAGAGATTGGAGGTATTAGTAGAGAGTAACATACAATCAAGAGAGAGAGAGACAGAGACACACAGAGAGAGAGAGAGAGAGAGAGAGAGAGAGAG